TCAGACCTAGAGTAGCGCGTCCTAGAAGTCCTTGATTGTGTATTGCCTGACCTGAGGCTTCTACTTTCAGCTTGTGATGGTGTGACTTGTCTGTCACGATCTTCTAAGTGGCAAGAGCGTGTGTTGCCTTTGTGCCCCTCTTTTGTTGCCACCCCTTTGCCTTTTATCTGACGCTTTATCTTCTCTATGTCTGCCACCATCCTCCGTATCAATTTGTCTTACTCCCTTACCCGTTCCTTCTAGAACCTAAGGATCCAACTTTCGCCTCTGCCTTTCAGGGCTTCGGGAGTGACGAGGACTGGAGCCCCATCTTTCATGAGTATCCCTCCGCGGGTTCCGTCACTGGGGATCTAACTCTGCCATGGGCGGGATAAAAGGTAAGCCTTCACGCCTTCCGCCCCCCTCCAGGGTTTGCCCATCAATGGCAGAGTGTGGCAAGTCTTCATTGTGCGCCATTGAAATCAGTTGAAAGAAAATTTAATCAAGAGGTTCGTTCTTTGTGATTGTGTTTCCCACAGACGGCGCCAATTGTACGAGCGCAGAAATAATCTTCTCGTATAATCCTGTTGATTAAGCTTGGACTCCTCCAAACGTCGTCGCTTTGCCACTTGAAAACACAAACGTGAGCTAGCCGGCGGGTGCGTGCCAGAAACCTCTCCGATGCCTAAGTCAGCAAATAGACAATAGACACAAAAGCTCTGTGTATTCCAGAGTAAGAATTGGGATACCTGTACATAGGTCCTGCTATGAGCTTTTATAGATTCTGCTTCGCACAATCCTAATAGGATTCTAACTCTCCTTATAAGAGTCCTCCTAGGAATCACACTCCCAATGAAGAGTGTCAATCCTGATAACACTATACTTACTACCAACCAAGTGAGATGGTTTGCATAACCCTAGTAGGACTCTACTCTACTCAGCAGAGTCCTCCTAGGAGTCTCATACCCAAAGATAATGCTTATCCTTAAAACACCCTCATCACTGTAAACCAAGTGAGATGGCCACTCCCTTATGCTCAGATATACATTCCTGACCGAGCTGCCTTATCTCGGTCCCCTGTCGTTCGGGTCGTGTGACCGGAAGCCGATTTATTGAATTGTACCCTGCCGAGCTACACATAGCTCGGCCCTCTCCGTTGACAACATCTCTGTCTGATAAAGGACTACCTTCAAATAGCTAGGTCCAGGCCCTAGCAACCCATCTCTGGCCGACCTAGTGTCTTCTTAGCCCAAGACCGAGCTACATCAGCTTTTATCTCGGCCCCATTGCGCGGCCTAACTTCCAAAGAAGACTTTTCCTAACTCGGCTCAATTTGTTCACAAATTACCCTCTCACATGGCATTCAATAATGTAATTGAAATTAACTATTAACTAATAATTAAGTATAAAACATGTATATTGAGTTTTTGTTCTTCGAATGGATCTAAATGACCCTGTCTACAATTGGTTTTCTTTATATGTATATGTATATATATATATATATAAAGTGTATTATGAGTTGAAAACAAAATAGTTTATTTGTATATTTATTAAGAATTTTGAAATCCAATCTTGTGCTTCAAATGTTCCTTTGTGCAAAGGATTTTTGACTGCAAAAGACAAACTCATCATTTAAAAACTTAATATTTAATTAGTGTACTCACTACATATATGCAAAAAAATAAATTTTATATATATATATATATAAAGTGTATTATGAGTTGAAAACAAAATAGTTTATTTGTATATTTATTAAGAATTTTGAAATCCAATCTTGTGCTTCAAATGTTCCTTTGTGCAAAGGATTTTTGACTGCAAAAGACAAACTCATCATTTAAATACTTAATACTTAATTAGTGTACTCACTACATATATGCAAAAAAATAAATTTAAACTCATGAAGATCTCAAATAAAAAAATAAAAATGTAAGAAAAAATATTTCAGAGCTGCTACATAATTAAGTTTAGTTACATCTGGATTTAAATTGAGTGCTCTCTTTATATATTACAACAAAATCGAACACATAAATTAATATAATTGAAGAACAAAATATAATAAAAAAATAAATGAGATTGAATAAAAACTATATTATCTAACTTCTCTATTAAAGATGAAAAGTAAATTTACAAAATGGATTAGTTAAAAAATTTGAGCACCTTTTTTATACAAATTTATTAATTAATGGGCTTGCTATATGGTGTTTATTGGATTCTTTTGAGGGACAAGCTCTCTGGAATTTTTTACATCAACCGTCCCCTGGGCAGGGGCAGAGGGACTGGGTTCGCAGGTTGGATTTGGATCCTCTTCCAAGATACTCTCTCTTAAGATTTTATTATGGTTTTAATCATAAGGTGAAGCATCATATTATTGTTTATCTAAGAGTTAAAATTAAAACGACAATAACAATGTTCTGGCTATTGAGAATTGAAATGAATTTTTAGAATTTTGTAGATAGGAAAATGGCTGGTAGCTCGAAAGTGAAGGGTCGAATGGGTCGAAAATATTCTCTTACCAGTAAGAGAATACAAAAAAAGCCTAAAACGACGTCGTTTTGAAATTTCGAGCCATTCGACCCTCTGATATTTCGAGCTACCAACCGGAGTTGTTGTAGATATTAGAGAAAGAAGCACTACTAGGCTATTAAAAAAATCTAAATTAGTTCAACGAAAATAACTATTAAATTTTTTTTAATAATTTTCAAATTATTTTCACTCAAAAAAGAGACAATCATATAAAATTGGTAAGTTCTTTTTATTTAGATATATTTTTAACCACACTAATTCTAGTTTTTTTCAAATAAAACAAAAAAAATTGAAAACTTAACCAAACGAAGTTGATATTTGGAATCAAAACTACGTAGCTCTACTTAAGGGCTAGTGACATAATTTAATTTTGTAATCTATTAATGAAGAGTCTTAGACTTGTCAATGTCTAACTTTTAACGCTCAAAAAACATAAAATCTCGCTTTCGCCCTTATTTATGGAGACATTCTTTCACATATACACACCCTCTTATATTTTCTTCACTTTGGAAAGCTCTCTCTCCTTTTTTATTTTACTTGTTTAATACCAATTTATTCAATGTTGTTAAGGATAATATTAAGTGAGTCAAATTTACATGAAAGTTTTGTAAGAGTTTCAATGTTCAAACTTATGACAATTCAAAAAAATAAATAAAAAAACACTTACGAGAAGGGTTGAACATCTAGTTATGCAAACTTATTTATTAAGAAAAAATTATAATCCAGTGTAGTGTTAGAAAAATAATTATAGAATCATTGAAAAACTTATAACTTTAATTATTAATGTTAATAATTTTTTTATTAATTTATAATTATTTCGGTAAGAATGCACTAATATATAATATCCCATTTACTAATATGCTAACATTGTGCATATAAAAAAAATTAAAAAAAACAAAACAAAACAAAACAGTAAAGTGTGTGGATATAATTTAGGCCTCGTTTGGAAACAGACTTTTTTAGTAACTTTTTTGTTTTTTGGCTAAAATGTGAGTAAAAAAAACTAGTACGTTTGAGATGACTTTTTGGTTTTTTACGAAAAGATGTGCAAAAAGTAGAGAGAAAAATGAATCTTTGACTTTTTGATATGAGTTGTTGGCTTTTTAGTTTCTTTAGTAACTTTTTGACTTTTTGGCTAAACTGATCGCTTCCCAAACGAGGCCTTAGTCTTTTATCTTATAAAAAAGAGTTAGTATCTCATAATTTAGGATTCATAATTTATCTAAAAATGAATATGTGTGGTGGAAATTGAATTATTAAAATATAAGTTCCACATCTGAAATGAATCTAAGGCTTCGTTTGGTAAGCATCTCAAAATATAATTTCACCTATTGATTTAAATGTGTTGTTTGTTTGGAGCTTTAAATCATCATTCTACACGTATTTCTCAAAACTCAATTCAAAACATAATCATTACTTTTCAAAATTCATAACCAAACATATAATTCAAAATTCTTTTCAAAACTCAATTCAAATCAATATTTTAAATATTTTAATATTTTAAAATTATTTTAATTTTGTTAAGATTTTAAATATTTTAATATTTAAATATGTTACGGTTTTTTTAATTTTTTTACTTTTTTTAAATATTTTAATTTCAAAATATTACGATTTTAATTTTTTTTAATTTAAAATATTTTATAAAAATAAATTCAAACTTTATTTTATAAAAATATTTTTAAATATTGTAATTTTTTTTGTTATGTATTTGGTTACGATTTGAGTGTAGAGTTGTGAAAGTAGTATGGAATTTCGAGTTATGTGTTTGATTACAAATTTTAAAAATAATTTCTTAATTGAGTTTTGTTTTATATTTTTGGTTACGATATGAGTGTAGAGTTGTTTTTAAATTTAAAATATTAACATTTTAAATTATTTAAATTTTACGATTTAAATTTTTTGAATATTTATTTTAATTTTCACTTATTAAATTTTTTAGATTATTTAAATTATTTAAATATTTATGATTTAAATTTTTTGAATATTTATTTTGAAAAAAAATTATTTCTTTTGTAGTATTTTCAATTAAAAAATTGATTAATGTTATTTTCTGTTAATAATAATTTTTTTTAATTGAATTTTAAAAAGAATTTGGTTACGAGTTTTGATCAGAATTTTCAATAGTGTGAAAGTAATATGTTTTGTTATGAGTTATAATAATTTGAATTAAATTTTGAAAATTCTTTTCAAAATTCATAACCAAACAAATTTTTTTACTTTACATGTCAAATCAAACTTTCAAAACTTAATTCAACACCCTATTCAAAAATCATAACCAAACAAATTTTCTACACTCAAATCATAATTTTATAACTCATAAACTCAAAATACAACTCATACTCTGAAATCATATTTATAAAACTCTACCAAACGCAAACTAAGTCTTTGATACAAAATTCTGAATAATTTTTGAATGAATTTTTATGTGTGAGGGCATATTTTATCTTTATTTTATGTGTGAGGGTTATGTGTCCGAGATGCCGAAATGGGATGGAGAGTAACGGCCTAACTGGCGCTCTTTCTAGTCGGATAGCTTATCACTACGCACACAGCCCACAAACCTAAGGTCCAGAAACGAAGATCCAAAACAGAGAGAGACACACACAGACAGAGAGAGAGAGAGAGAAAGAGAGAGAGAGAATGCGAAGCATAACGCTCTCTTCGCAGAGCGTTTTACTACTGAGGCCTCATTCACTTCCTTCATCTTCTAAACCTCTCAAATCACACCACTCTTATCTCAACTCTCGCTTCACCAATCAAACTTCCAACCTCTCTTCTTCCAGTCCCACCGTCTTTCTCTCCAGGTAACTTTCTTTCTTCATTTTTTCCTAATTTCCCACTTCTCTGATTCAATTTGTCAATCAAAAAAACAAATCTTTTTTTTTTTTTTAATTTTGATTTTTAAAGGTCTTTGGCTTTGTTAGTTCTTTCTTACAAAATGCCTGCTGAAGTATACTGTTATTTTGGATTTATTTTCCCGTTTTCTTCTCATGGTTTTTCTTTGTCTTCTTTTATTTAATTTGTGTTCAATCACAATTGTGTAAAGTTTGGTATTATGGTGTTTTGGAACTGTAAGCATGAATTGTTTGTTTTGACATTGGCAACCAAATTACTCTGTAATAAGTTTCTACCATTTTGTTCCTTTCAGATATGCAAGGCAGCAATGTGTAAACATGTACAAGGTGAGTTTTGGGATTTTTTATGGGTATTTTTTAATTAATTGGAATTGGGTTGCAATTTTTTTGGATACCCATATTCCTCACTTATTATTTTTTCTCAATTGTTTGTAGTGTTGACATTTTAGAGCTGTTGATAATTTCATTCTGTTAATTGTGGGGTATAGAGTACACAGTACTAACCAACTATAATGGAATGATTTTTATTAAACTCCATCATATTTTTTTTTTTTTTCAATTGATAGGGGATTATTTACTAATATCAAGAGAATTATTTAAATTGGACAATCAACTATGTAAGAAAGCCCAATAACACATTCCTGCAAGTTCAATTCTAACTTCTGAATCTTTGAATGCCATGGGAGACAGATAGTGCTTGAACTTCTCTATCAATGGAAGGATTGTCACTTCTGCATATTTATTTCAAGAGCTAATCAATTATATTCGTATTTCTTTCACTAATCCTGAATGGGTTAATAATGAAACCCTTGATTTTGTATATTAAACTTTGATGCAGGAGTTCAAGTTCCTAAATTGCAATGCATGCAAAGCAACTCAATGGACAAATGATGTGGATGACTATGATGGTTTGGACAAATCACCTTCAAAGAAGAAAATTGGAGGGAGGAATTCTATACCTAATGTGGATGACTACAATGCTTCTAATACACCATTCCACTGTTATCTGAAGTTCACACTGCTCTTTGGATTGTTCAGCCTTGGAGGCAGTCAACAGGCAGTTGCTGGGTCAGATTTTGCTAGTGGATTGCAATCAATATCATTTTTTGGGGACCTTGGCGATATTAGCACAGGTTTTGCTTCAGTTAGGAAAATCTCCCTGTAACTTTCACGATTCTGACAATCTTAAGGATCACCTTTTTTTTTTGGGGGGGGGGGGGGAGGGGAAGTTTTGGTGGTGGGGTACATTTCTTGATACTGAGACAAGCTGGAGCTTGAAGGAACCTCACTAATTTAATAGCTTAGACTCATCTCTCATTCATTCTCCTTCAAACTCAAGTATTTTATGACACTGCATCATTAATAAATTGCTTGTAGGGGGGATTACGTGCAATCGAATTTATGCTATCCTCTTACTCTCTTGTACGCAGATATTTATCAAACTTCAATGTAGGCTTGCACATATTTTCATATTGTGCTATTCTTTATGGTGATGGAAGGAAAACAATCTTGTCTATTTAGTTTCTCATATTTGACCTCATATTGGGAATATGTGAAATGTATTGAAATGTCTATATATTTATATAAAGTGTCTTGAAATATGTGAAAAGAGTATGAAATATATATATATATATATATAAAGTGTATGGGAATATGTGAAATGTGTATTGAAATTGTAACTTTTTTGGCATTATGTAGTTCTTAACGAACACTCATTGGGAGGTTGTTAGTAGGACCCATCTTATAATACCAAAATTGAAACAAAATAAAAATAGAATCTTAGAAATTTGTTCCTTCAAAGATGTGAGCTTGGAAACAGCACTAACTTCTCATGGTCTGTGTATCTGTAGTTTGATATTTGTTGCTAATTTGAAGTAGCATGAGATGGGAAGTTAAATAAAAATCAAGTGCTCAATGTGAACATGTAGTTCTTAAGTGGACAAAACAAGCCAAAAAATCATTATCAAGCTTTCACGGTTATTATGTGGCCTTTTTAGAGGCATATTTTATCAGATTATGCGGGGAAAATTTTGCAGGGAAAACTTTGTGCTCGTTCTTTGCCCTCTACCTGATGAAATTTTAATTTGGTAGCATTTAGTTACAGCATTAGTTATTTGCCATTGCAAAGCTGCCCTGTCTAGAGAAAACTCACCTTTTCACCTGAATTAGATTACTGCTTATGGGCATTTAAACTCCCACTCTTTAAAATTTCATTTTTATTTTGCAGGCATTCTTGCTTATATTTTTCTCTGAGCTAGGGGACAAAACCTTTTTTATTGCGGTAAGGGAGAATTTATCAAATTTTTCATGGAATGTATCTGATCGTGAATGTTTCAAATCAGACTCTGTGAATTAATTGAATGAACATGCTTGTGTATATTGTGTATGTCAGTGGACAATTTACTTTCCCCTAAAAAACCTTTAATCCCTAAATCTTAGCATGAGATCAAGTTTAGTACTCTCACCACATAAGCAAACTTCTTTTCATCTGAACTTTGCTTCTTGACTGCAATGTGTTATGAGATTAAACAATTCTTTGCTTACTTCATTTTTTCTACTGTATCAAATTGTCTGCACGTTGTTCTTAACTAAATTGGATTTTGGATGTTTAATGTCTTGGCAGGCACTTTTAGCAGCTAGGAACTCCAGTGCTGTTATTTTCATTGGGACTTTTGGCGCACTTGCGTATGTTATTCTGTTTATGCTTGGTGATTTAATTGGCCTCAGCATTTGAAAGTCTTCTCACTAGGCAAATTCAAAGGGCATATTGCATATGTGCTTTCTATTACTTTAAGCTACTTAATGAGTGTGAGACAAGTGCACTGCGATTGGGGATTAGTCTCCTATAGATTGAGAAACAGCAGGAAGACAACTTTTAACCAGTGATGTCAGTGTCAACACATTTCTACATGGTATCAGAGCAAGATTAAGAACTTAGTATTTTTCGCTTCACCGGCGGGCGGCAACCTCGCCTTGGCCGCCCGCCGGACCTCAACCTAGTCCGCTAGAATCTTCTTCACCACCTTCACAACGGAGCTCCGTGCCGGTGCCACCACCTTCCTCGCCATGGCAGCAGCTTCAGCAATCATTCTGTTGTCGCGTCGCTTTCGATTTCAGATCTGTGTTGCCTTCATCCTCCACCATCAGATGGAGTAGATCCTCTTTTTCAACTAAGGTTTGACACCTAGTTGACGTATGTGATTCTCTATCATTTGTGGCCACAGTTCGGCAGAAAAACAGTATAAGGAACAGTTTGGAAGATCAATTTGGTTATAGAAATGAATCACTTTGTGAAGAACCATGCTCTACAAGTACAAATGCCAAACTTGAAATGATCAGAGAATTTCTGTACAGAGATTGCCTGGTGTTACCATTAAGCATTGGGTCTTCCATGGACACAGTTTCTAGCATAAGCTTTGAAGCTAGCAAATTCAGTCTGTGAAGGCTATTCTGACACAAACTATTCACAATACTCAGTCCCACCTTTTGACAGTTCGGTCAATGGACATAAGAGAAAGCAGCCCACTAAAGGAACTCAGTATGAGAATTTCATCCAACCCAAGAAGAAGGTAACTGATAGAGATGATCAATGGAGCGACGACAGAACTGAATCAGATTTATGTATCACAAACCAATTTGAAGGTAACAATTTCAACACCAACCAATGGAATTCTATAATCTAAAGAGTTTAATCATTTAGACTTCGCAGAAGGTGAATGAAGTATTCAGGAAACCATATGGATATAACATCTAGGTGTTTTTCTAGAAGTGACTCATTACAAGAAATTAGGGATTTAATGGCATTTAATTAACGACATTTTATTAAACGTCACGTTTTCTAATTTTAATGGCGTTTTATAATCACCGTATATCTTTTTAACCAAAATAATACCGTTTTCTAATTGAAGGCGTTTGAAAACATCTCCAAACGCTGTAGGTACACGTGCCTCTTTTTGAAACCCTTATTTTGAATGAGCCCTTTCTCTCTCTCAACCCTTATACGCATACATCTATCTCTCTCTCTCTCAGCAACAAAGAAGACGAAGGAGATTACTCTAGGAAGAAGTTTTGTCTCTCGAAAGATCAATTGGCTGTTGAAGAGAGCTTCAAAGAACACAACATGCTCAATCCTGTAAGTATACATAACACTGAGTCTTAGCTTGAATACGCAAACATCTCTCTCTCTCTCTCTCTCTCAACCCTTATACGCACACATTTCTTCATCGAAGCTCCATCTACACCGGCGATTTCGAAGATTCAGATCGATTTCAAAGCTTCATCGCCACCGTCATCTGCACCGGCGAGGTAGCGAGCTCCACCCCCTCTCTCTCCCTCTCTCTCTCTCTCTCTCTCTCTCTCTTTAGATCTATGAAATCAATGTTTTGAAGGCGTTCTTACTTGATCCTCATTTGTAGAGATTCAGAGAGAGGCATTCTGACTTGATCCTCATTTACTGAAATCAATGTTTTAAGGCATTCTTACTTGATCCTCAAGCTCCAATGGCTGCGAATAGTCTACTTTGTTTCTGAACTTTAATCGGTACTCTCTCTCTCTCTCTCTCTCTCTCTCTCTCTCTCTCTCTCTCTCTTTCGAATTTTACTGCATGTATAACATTTGTATACATCAATAACATTCTTGCTTATATTTTTCTCTGAGCTAGGGGACAAAACCTTATTTATTGCGGTAAGGGAGAATTTATCAAATTTTTCATGGAATGTATCTGATCATGAATGTTTCAAATCAGACTCTGTGAATTAATTGAATGAACATGCTTGTGTATATTGTGTATGTCGGTGGGCAATTTACATTCCCCTAAAAAAACTTTAATCCCTAAATCTTAGCATGAGATCAAGTTTAGTACTCTCACCACATAAGCAAACTACTTTTCATCTGAACTTTGCTTCTTGACTGCAATGTGTTATGAGATTAACAATTCTTAGCTTACTCATTTTTTCCACCATATCAAATTGTCTGCACGATGTTCTTAACTAAATTGGATTTTGGATGTTTAATGTCTTGGCAGGCACTTTTAGCAGCTAGGAACTCCAGTGCTGTTATTTTTATTGGGACTTTTGGCCCACTACACCACTACCACCTCCACTTCACCTACTCCACCTACCACCTACTACCACCTACTCTTCTATATATAGGAATCATTGTAACAGATCAATAAATATCAATCAATAATACAATTCTCTATTTCTCTTTATACATTAAATTTTCTACAGTTTCCCTTATGTTTTGCTAATTACACCTTTGAAATTGTTAGTGATGCATAGCAGTCCCAGTCTTACGAACTTAATAGCACATAACACATAGGCATTCCTTTTTGAAGAGTTTATTGCCATTATTCTAATAAAATCAACATGAAATAGTTATATTCTAAATATCAGATCAACTACTTCGAGAGATGTTTACACAGTCAACTAAGGGACTAATGATTGTACATTTGGTGCAGAAATATTTTGAAATATAATTTATTTCGTTGACCCACCTGTGTCTGTGTATGATGGGCAGGACAATGACAATCATATCTGTTGTTCTAGGACGAACTTTTCATTACGTCGATGATATCCTTCCGTTCAGGTACTTTACTTAATAGATTCTGTCAATTTTTTATTTATGATGTTCTAGTAAACCATCAAACATGTGGGTAAATTACAGGCATCATCTTATTTGTCCTGCCCATGATATCTGTAGCATAAAAGTCAAGTAATCTGCTGCTCATCCGTCCAATTTTCCAACACCAGTGAAAATATTTTATATACTTCCAGAAGAAGAGGATATGATTGCAGGATTTTGCATCGGAAGACCATCCTATGGTCTTTACCGATCCCTGCATATTATACTGAAAAAATATGAGTAGTCATCCTTGCTCTCTACTCTAACTAGAAGATGAGTCAATTGATTAATCAAGCATTGTCCTAATACAGTTTTCTGAATGGCAGATTTGGTGACACTGATTTACCTGTTGATGATATTGCTGCAGTTTGCCTTCTGGTAACTAACAGCTTTTCAGATAGATGAAACAAATTGCACAGTACACACATGCAATCATGATCATGTGATAATGATTCAAGAACATAAACCTCTACTATTTTTTTTTTTTTGAAATAAGCATCACAAGTAGTACAATTGCCAGGTGTATTTTGGAGTTTCAACCTTGCTTGATGCCAATTCTGGAGATGGTCTGAAGGCAGAAGAAGAACAGAAGGAGGTGAATTTATATCTGAACTTACGAGCTTTCAATGTCAAACCTATCATTTTAATCTTAACATTATTTAATCTCTTTCAAAATGCAAAAAAATAATAATAATAATAAGAAAGAAGAAGAAGAAGATTGAAGGACCCTGCATCTGAAATAATTTTGCATGCTATACAAGTTACCTCATACGTTGTAGGAACTTTTCTCTGTTGAATAACAGGTTTGTTAACACTTGTTGACATGACACCTATTACCCAACATCCTTTGGGCAGTTGCTCAAATGTCCACTTTCTACAATATGCTAAAGAATCGGCATTTTACACCCTTTATTTTGACCGTTCTTTAAAATGTTACTTGCTTCCTTATTTTAATGGCCATGCATTTCCTCATACAGACACAAACTCAATCACTCAAATATAGACAAGTTTAAAATAGTTTATTCATATGTGTTGAGAGATATAGCTATGTTCCCATGTCTAATATTTGGAGCTGCTCTGTCCATGTTGATGTGTGGCCCTTTGATCCGAATACAACAGTGGTTTCCCATTGCTATATTGCTAACTACCTTATGCATTTAACTGCATTTCGTGTTTACTATTCTTGAACAGGCAGAGCTGGCTGTTTCAGAATTTTCAGGAAATGGTGCTGGGATTTTAGCTGCTGCTAACACAGTCATTAGTACTTTTCTGCTTGTTTTTGTTGCTGAATGGGGTGACAAATCATTTTTCTCAACAATAGGTGAGTGACTTAGCTAGAAAGTCCTTTATTTCATTTGATTGCAGACTTTGGTTTAATGTCTGCTAAGAATTATGTACGACAATATCCACAATAAAAGTAATTATCCCTTGTTGTATACATGAATATTCAAGTCAGTTGTGTTATGCCGCTTTGTAGTCTAATGGCTACACTCCTTACTTGCAGAACAAAAGATGAACTTGTATAAATAGTAGCAATTGAAGCGACATTTTAAATTCTCATCGGAGATAATGTTTGAAGTCTATTCAGTTTCTTGTCGAATGCCTATTGATGGCAAAACGTATCTTTTAGATTTGAATCATACAGGAAAAAATAAGTCTTGACAAAAGATTGGGGTCACTCACCATACACACACAAAAGAATGACAAAAAAAAAAAAGAATTGTTTTATGTTAGAAGAAAAACATTACTTCATCTTTATCAAACCAAAAAGTTGTATATGTTTTATGATCAAATAATTTATTAATTCATCTTTATCAAACCAAACATTACTTCATCTTTATTAAGTGAACTGCTACTCTCTAGCTCCATTGTGCACTGTAAAGGTGTAGATCTCCTTGCTCAAGTCATATTCTCTGCTAACACAAATACTCTTCTTACTCAGCACTTGCTGCCGCTTCTTCACCTCTTGGAGTCATTGGGGGAGCGCTAGCTGGTCATGGAGTTGCAACTTTGGTAATTTCTAAACTCAACACGAATTTAAACCTGTCTTTCATAATTAAAAGCAACTTGCAGAGTTTTTGGCCTGAGAAATTAAAACAGCAACTTGCAGGAATTACTCTACTTTTGCAGCATGCTTTTAGTTGTGGAAGCTTGTAATTTGGGAACCAATAAAAAAAAAAAGCATAATTTGAAAATATTACAAGTTACTTTTTCAATAAAACAAAACAAAATCTTAAAAGTGCACACTATTGGTGAATTTACAGCCTGCGATTAGTGAGGTTGGCAAGCAGGGATGGAACTATTGGTAAACAATGAGGGGCCATGGCCCCCTGTTCAAAGGAAACAATGCTACTGAAATGATATGCTATGTTGCCCAAAACTTTCTTGTTATTACAAATGGCCCCTGCTGCTCCTATCTTATGTACGAATATTGAAAACTTTATGTTTCTTAATAAAACAAGTTTCTCTGTACAAAAGAATTGGAACACCAAAAAAAAAAAAATAGAATTCTTATATTTTTTTAATTTATTTAATAAATGCATCATTTAATAGTAATAATACATTATTTATATTTCTTTGATCACAATTTGTTTATCACCTGATGAGGCATAGTTATAATGCTGATATCATATTAATGAGATTCATATGAGACCTAATGAAAACTTTTGAAATTTGAAAAAAAAAAAAAAAAAACTTTCACTTTAATGGATAATTGATGTAGCATATGCAAAGAATCAATTAACTTATGATTTCTCTTTTATTTATATATTAAAGTTGAGTAGATATGACTTATTTTTTTATTATGTTAAATAGATGATAATTTTTATGTATTATTTTAATTTCAGATCTTAGTTATTTCTCAGTGTTGAATTGAAAAATGTATATAACAATTGATATATAAAAGAATAGTATATGAACTTTTTTTTTTCTTTTTTTTTCCCTCAGTTATGTGCTGATATTCACTCTAACAGAGCTGATCTATTAATTATTGTTTTACGCAGCTGGCTGTTTTGGGAGGTTCTTTACTGGGGACATTCTTATCTGAGAAGGTGAGTCATCCTCATTGATCTGCCAAAATTTGTAGTTAAAAAATATAATAAATTTTGCCTGAACACATAAAACTCTTCTTGATGCCACAGCGACTCATACAAATCAGTCAGCACATGTAACAAACTGGCTTGTCTGGTTGAAATATTAAAAACCTGTCCGACAAAACGAGACACATGTCCTTATGAAATTTAACCTAATGATGTATTAGTTTAGGAAAATGCTATGCACCCCAAATAAATTACCAAATTTTCTACCAAACCTCTCACATGGGTGTGGGATCCACACAAATCAAATGTGTGTGGGTCCCACACCCATTTGAGAGGTTTGGTAGAAAATTTGGTAATTTGTTTGGGGTCCCTAGCATAACTCATTAGTTTAATCATTTTAGTGTATTGTTTTTGACTGCTTCGAAAGGACAGGAATTAGACTTGTTAATAACAAACAATATTGGTGGCAAATATGATTTGCCTATATCAATTTAGTCCACACTAGTCCTCATGCTTTTGTTAGATTATCCCCAAATACTTGTCAAATCTTTGTGGCTCTTTCACCTTCGTAAGGAAATGAATGGAGGTCTATGAAGAATGGATACATACGCGGGATATGAATACAATACGATACAAATATGGAAATGCAACAAAATTTTAAAAATTAGGATATGGGTACGGCCAGAATTTGTTGAATTTTTTTTATATTATTTTCAGTATTATAATATTCATGGGCTCAAAGAATAGTGAAAAATTGTTCTTTACAAATTAGATATTACATATTAGTTTGAGTAAAGAGCCAATGATAAGGTTCTCTCTCTCTCTCTCTCTCTCTCTCTCTCTCTCTCTCTCCCCAGTAGATACATTAATTTGTAATATTTGAAAATGTAGTGTACTACTTTAATTTCTCTATTTTTTTTTTCTTTGGTAAGAAATAAGAAAATATTGAAAAATTATTCTTGTATTTATTCCAACAATAATATTCTAATAATATGTAAAAAATTTACAATTTCAATTTCATGATAATTTGGATATGTGATTAGAGTGCTCATAAAATATCAGATATTTCTCAAAATTAACCTCAAGTATCGCACACGGCTACGAATATCAATATGTATTCTCAATTATCTAATGAGTATTATCCAATATGGATACGACTCCCTTTTAGAAGTATATGTGCTCCATAGAGAGTTATTCTTTGGTAGAAAATGTTAATGTGATTGTTCAACTCATATGGGAAATATTGAGGCACTGGAACGCAGTATTGAAATACCATATAACTAAGATAAAACTATATCTAACAAGATGTGCCCAAGTTGAACACTATCAAATGTAAAACCAAGGTAAAACTATATCCAACAAAACATGCTCTGTGATGGTGCAAGAATGTCATTTTATGCAAAAATGTCATAAAAAAAAAAAAAAAAAAAAATTCATCTATAAATTTCTTTTATTGTTAGGCAGTTACAAGTTCTTTTGTTGTTGCTTGTACAGGTTATTGCTTACGTTGGAGGTACTCTTTTTCTCGTCTTTGCAGCAGTAACGTTGATAGAGATAGTAAGTTAAGGTTAAGGAGATCTATATTTTCATCTGTGTTAGATCTTTACATTTACAGACATCACAAACATTCATTTCCGTGGATTATTGAAAGAATTTTGTCAGAAACTCAATTTTCATATCTTGAGCCAAAATTTGTTAGATTTTGAGTGTTGCTTTGCTTTCATTACAAAGAGAATTCAATAACGCTGATAGATGCAGCTGCACGGTAAGCACATTGCGAACTATTTTTTTCGCTTTTTTCATTTAAACAAAATCATTTAGTGATATATTTTTACAGAGTTCTATTTTACCATTTTGTATGACCCACTTAAAAGTGCATTTTGTTAAATCAATAAAAAAAACATCCAAGTGGTTAGAGAAAAATACAATTCACATCACCAAATAATGTCAATATTTTTTAGCATATAGGCTTTTATATTTTAAATCAGTGGCTTATTAAAAAAATTCAAATTACTTTTTGCACTCCATCCATAATATTAAACATATTATAATACTGGATTTATTGTTTCTTTTTTAAAAAAAAAAAAAATTGTATTCCATCCATACTATTAAACAATATTGTGGGTTCACCTAAATTTTGTTTAGCTGGAAAAAAAAAATTGTATAGGACTAACAATTTCATGCGATTGTTAATCCACTTAAAAGAGTGAGATTAGCAACAATGCAATGGAAGGTGAGATTCACAATCTAGGGCAGTGCGCGGGTCGGATCGGACCGGGTTTGACATACACTCGTCATTCGAACCGATTATGTCGGGTTCAGCATATGCCCATCCGAGTTCGACCGATGCATTGTTTGAAATCGAACTGCTATACTATTCGGATTCACAGTCGGTGGCGGACAGGTCTTGTTTTCTCAATTTGGGCTTCACACAGTAAACAAGAAGAAGAAGAAGAAGAAGATGAAGAAATAACGATAAAAAAGAAAATTACATATGTCAAAGATCAGATCCAAACTCATCCTAAAAAAAAAACCTAGAATCATACACACAAAAAAATACATAAAAAAAGAAATCCAAACTTAACCCCTTCCCAAATAAAATAAAAAAAATTACGGACTCATCTCTCGATTTAAAGCTTCCAATCTTTTTTACTTAATACTTGTCAGATGTTCCAGATCTAGATCCAACAAGTGCAACACCAAACAAACTCACTATCTACGATCACTTTCATCATCTGTGATTCTAACGTGTTAGGGTTTCAGAAGGGAGTAAGGCTGGAAGAGGGATTTGGGGGTGATCAAAAGGTGGGAGGGAAGAGGATTATCATACACATCAAATCAATCACTTTTTCCAAAATTCTCTCTCAAAATAATTTTTCAAAATATTTTTTGAAAAAAATTAAACCAAACAACTTTTCGTACTTTTTATCTCTAAAACTCATCTCCCAAACATACCCAGAATCTCTAAGTAAATGTGAGAGAGAGATGTTTTCACCAACTAAACTTCTTCAGCAAAGTATTGAAAGAGATGTGAAAAATGAAAAGTTGAATTTTGCAATGATAAAATCCAGCTAAAGAGTTGAATAATTGTATAGTCTAGTTGAAAAGTTGAATAGGTTGTAGTAATGATTCCTATTCACTAGGTTATCTTGGTAGATGAAATAAAACTATAATAAATACCTTCTGTTAATAAAATTTTAGGAGGTATTTGGGATGATCTAAATAAGTGTATGTTTTGTCTTTTTAAGAAAAGATGTGTAAAAAAATAAAGAAGTGATATGATGAAAAAAAGATAAAAATATAAAAAGATGAATTAGTTTGTGTATGTCAAACTTGACCTTAATATCTCCAACTAGTAAAGAGCAAACATGTGGATAGAAGCATCGTTTAATACATTGGGTGGATCAGATTAATTGATTTTTTATTCTTTAAATCCGACACTTGACCGCCAAAATAAAAATTTCTGTAACTTCAATCACTGTCGATCAAAATTAGTGACGAAATCGTCCGTATATGGTCAGGTCAAGTCGATCGTTTAGACGGGTCGGCCAGATACTTGCACAACCCTATTACAACCCTATCACAATCAATCCCACGAGATTAGAAGAATCCCATGTGATTAGAAGTGAAAAGAGATTATTACCTTCTATTTAAAATAAAAATAAAAAAAACAACAACAACAACAATGTTACCATTTATATAACGAGAAAGACTTTTAAAATATTATAAATTTAATTCTAATTAACTAATATCACCTATTGTACATAAAAATAGACACAATTTATCATATATATTAGTAATCATATTACTCAATCATATTACTCAATCATATTGTGATAATAGTTCTATCCAACCTAGACAAGAATCTTCCTTGAAATGGATTCATAAAAAAATAAATTATTCCATAGTCCTTTGAGCAATTTTCTGTGGCGTTTCAAATACATTATCACTTGCTTAAAATAGTTTTTGCTGGGTTCTAAAAGATAAGAAGACATTTGTCAATTGTTAAATGGTTTGGAACAACAGTGTTAAATGGCTTGTAACAATCATAATGCTATACACCATAATTATTCATCTACAACATTTTGTGTGAAGTATTTGTATGATAAAAATTAAATTAATATAATGTGAGTTTTGATATAAAATGAATCTAAATCTTCGTTTGGAAAGTTAGTTGATATTTTAATTTTTTGACTTTTTGATTATTTTTAATCTGAGATTAAAAAATCTCGTTTTAAATGAATTTTTTGACTTTTTAAAATTTTGTTAAATAAAAAATAAAATGATTATGATTTACCTATGAAATTTTATCTTATTAATTTTTTAATTTATTTTATCTTTTCATAACTATTTTAATTTACGACAATGCTACGTAGCTCAAATTTTGTAGTTCAAAAGTGGCTCAAATGGCCAAAACGACGTCGTTTTAAGTACAGAACAACATAAAAATAGTCAAAACAACGTCGTTTTGGCCATTTAAACCACTTTTGAGCTACAAAATTTGAGTTACAAGACATTTTCCTTTAATTCAAGACAAACAAAACCTAAATCATAAAAGGTCATTTTTGAATAAAATAACATTAATGTTGTAACAATGGTCTTGGAGCATGGAATAATTTTTCGGCCACGGGTCCGTGGCATCATCATCACGAACGGTGACGAGCCGCTGCTGACTTTTAATAAAAGTGGAAAAACGAAAAAACATATATAATAATAAATAAATAAAACATCACGGTCATGTCAGGTTGACGTGTTAGAGAAAGACTAGTAAGGCACGCTTTGGTGGTAGTGACCCTTCCAAAACTATCCAAAGAAAGCATTTTTGACCATACAATGATCATACAACAATAATGATGATATGGGCTGGTATGGGGCAATTAATATCGCTAATCAAATTTTACTCGAATTATCCGAATGGATATTTCTTAGGGGTGGGCAACGGATATATTAATATGTTAAAATTGATTGAATCGAATTGATTCGTTGTATTTTGGACGAATGCGTGATGACGAGCAGACGGTTGCGGATTGATTTTCTCTAATCCGTCAATCTGACGGACGGATGGCGGATTTGAGATTCATTTGGCCGCAACCGAACCGCCAAACCGCGAGCACCCCTAGTAATTTATAAGACTTTGTGTTTTCAGTTTGTTTAAATATTCTGTTTGTGTTTTCAATTAAAAAAGAGTTTAAATATTCTATTGAAAAAAAGTTTTCAACTTGAATATCTTTTAATGTATTATTTATCTATATTTTTTAGTTTTTAAATCTATCTCTAAAAATAATAAATAGAAAATATGATATATGCTGGTTGGTTTTTGTTTTCAAAAATAGATATAGATGTAACAATACAGAGACATACAATCTCTACTACTGCGATATTTATGGTTTTGGTGGTTTGAATTGTTTTTATATTTTAAAACCACAGATTGTAATAGTTTATGTGGATAAGGCATGCTGTGATTGTGATATTCTAAAATTTTAAACTTTCTTACTTTGGATGAGGCATGCAGTGATTGTAATACTTTTTTAAGTCATTGATTATAATACTTTCTTCTTCTTTTTTTCTTCTTTTTTTTTGAGAAAGTGCACAAGTTAAATTATGTTGAAAATTTATAAAATTTGAAACCGCCAAACCGATTCGCATCCATCCGCAATCCGCTCAATCCACATCCGCCGGATTGGCGGACGGATGCGGATTGATTTTCTCCAATCCGCCAATCTGGCGGACGGATGGCGGATTGGAGGTTCCGTGGCCGCAACCGACCCGCGCCCACCCCTAGTATTTCTTACCAGCTTCTTCAAAATTTTAATTAAATTATAGGTGAAAAAGTTATTTTACTATTTTAGCTAGTCATCTTTTTAGTATTTACTACATCAAACTTTCTATTTTAACTTAATTTTATTAAAATATTATTTTCTTGTTGTGTTTGTTATTCTTTATTTTTTTATTAAATTGATGAGTTACTAGCCAAACAATTTTAAAAAAAAAAATTAGTCTTTGACCGATTAACCTGCCAGACTTCCGGGCGAACATTCGGTAACATTAATGACATACCTTATTCAATACTCTACTTTCTAATCAATGTGGGATAAAATATTACACACCTTATTCAATACATCTTTCATGAGGCAAACTTAATGAGTCAATTTCTCATTTTAATCTTAATGATTTTTTGTTATTCTTTTTGTGGTGTAAAAATTTCATTACAAAGAATCTAAACCCACTTTAATCTACCTCAGTAGAGGATTGGCACCCACATTAATATCGCCTTAAAGTCACCAAAAAATCATATTATTTTCTAACAATCCCCCACATAAATAAAAATTGACCATATAACAACAATCAGACAACGCTTAACAACAAAGACTCGAAGAGAGAGTGCAACGGAATAACCCTTACATCAGAAAAGGTAGCTTTTGGCTTTGAACTCCTCATGGTGAAGTCTTTCGGATTTACTGGTTGTCTAGTGAACATGAAGTCTTGAATTGTTTTGCCGTTTATGTAAACCAAGACAACAAACCTCACACAAATATTATTCCAACCATCATTTTGTTCTCACTGTTATGTCCGGTTTGGCCCTAGAACACTAGCTTGGTTCAGTGAGTGGTTTAAAGAATTCGGCCTTGTCAATTCTTATAGAAGTGGCCCCACTTCACGCTCACATAGGTGACTCTACTTGAGTATCTTGTTATACT